AGGTCGGGCAGCGGCGTGTCGCGGGGCAGCAGCAAGTGCTGGTAGCCTCCTTGGGAGGCATTCTCCCGGTGTTCGGTGGTGATGTTGGGGTGGGGGGGGGGGGGGGAGCGGGGGAGGAGGAGGAGGAAACAAGGAGCAGGAGGCAAGGCCAAGTCCAAGGACATGAAGGACGCACGCCGAACAGGGTCTTCTCGGGGAGGGTGGCGTCCCGCAAGCAGGTGGTGATGGCATGGAGGACGGTTTCGACGATCTGGTGCTGCGACTGAGCCAGAGCCCCCCGCTCGGAGGTCAGCATGAGGATGATCTCCGATGCCTGGGCCCCGAGCGGGCCATACGCCGAGTGAAGGATCGGCTCGGAGCGCGTGTGGCTGAGAGAGCGCAACCGGGCGCGGTCCTGCTCGCGATGGAGCTGGATCAGGAAGGACACCATCAGCGGGGTGGAGCACGCTTCATTGAGCGAATGCAGCAGCAGGTCGCGTGTGGCCACGGCCACGGCGATCGGCTGGCTGGTGGCCAGAAGCGAGTGCACCGACGCAAAGAAAGACTCCTTCAGGAGACCCAGCGAGCCGTCGGTCTCCATGGCAGCCACATTCAGGGCGAGTGCCAGCTCCTGGATAGGTGCCAAGCGCGACGGGCGGCAGGGGCGAGGGCGGATGCCAAGGGAGGGAGTCAGACCACCAGAGGGGAAGAGGGGATGACCATAAAGTGGCAACGTGTCCAGCAGGGCGAGGCCCATACCTCGGCATCAAGACCAGCCGGGTCATTGGCCCAGGAGTGCACGGTGTAGGCCCAGCTCTTGGCAATGGTGGCCGCTCGAGAGGACAGGCGCCACATGGACGCGGCGGCGTAGCGGTTGAGCGCCGGCGCCGAGGTCAGGACATGGCGCACATCCGCCGGGAAGGCGCTCGACGAGGACAGCAGCGCCTTGAGGGCCGAGTGCCGGTCGGTGAAGGAGGCCAGCACACCAGAGCCATCGGCCTCCGGGGAGCCGTTCTCCCGTGGGGCATCCCCCCCGCGTGGGTGGCTCCGACTCCAAGGCGGATTCGACGCCAAGCCCAGGATGATGCGAGACATGAGCGACGCGGCGTTCGGCAGCTGCTCCAGATCCTCGGGGAAGCGAGCGATCATGCGCGCGGCGAAAATGAGCACCGAGCAGGCATGGCTCGGCTGGGTAGGAGGGGCGAGGGGCGAGGGGCGAGGGGGGGGGGGCACGTAGGGAAAGGCGCAATGGCAGGGTTAGCCGGGGAGAAGAGGGGCCAATGCGCGGAGAGGGTGTCTTGCGCACCAGGAAGGGTGGCTTTGACAGGCAGGCCTGCTCAAAGCCGAAGGACGTCACGTCGCCACCGGCGGCGACCGACTGACCGCCGGCCGGGTCCCGAAGGAGATCTTCGAAGGAGTGTGCCTGCTGTTGGGTGGTCGAGAGGACCAGTGAGAGGACCAGCTCCAGGAGGAAAATACGGTTGAGCGTGCCATTTGCCACTGTTCCCGAAGCTGACGGGCTCACCGGCGGCTGGGACAAAGCCTGGCCGCTTGGTGTGCTGATGATGCCAGGCGGGCTGTCCGCCTCGCTGGACATCGGCCGGTTTTGCTGAAGCGAGAAGAAAATGGGGATCTGAGGCGAGGAGCCGGTATGCTGCATGGATGGGTCCATGACCGGGTCTGCCATGGCCAAGGACAGCACCCCAAGCATCGAGCGAGGATCCGACAGGAGGAGGGCCCGCAGCCGCGGCGCTGGCATCCTACTGATGTTGGAAATGGTTGATGCTGTGTGGCTTTGCCGGTGAGCAGGCCGCGTATGCGTGCGGAAGGAGCAATAAGGTGGCAAGAGGACCCCCCCCCCCCCCCCCCCCCTTCCCCCCCCCCCCCCCCGCCCTCCTCTTCACTTTGGCCGTATCCGGCCGTGCAGCGTGCCCCGCAAGCCGGGCTGGCCGGAGAGACGCACCCGGGCAGGGGCCGCATGAGGCAATCTCATCGGCATCCAATGGTCCGCCAAGGAGCCAGTGGTAGAGGTCCACGCGCGGGTCGGGAGTCGCGTCCGAGAAGAAGGGGTTGAACTTGATCGGTGTCCCGGAGGGGGCCTCTGAGCATCAGCGCGGAGGGGGCGAAAAAAAAATAATAATGAGGAAGCAGCCAGCCAGGGCAAACGGGGCAAGGGAAGAGGACACAGGTAAGTTGCCAGCTCCCTGGGCGGGGCACGGGCAGGGGGTGTGGGGGCATCGGCACGAACCGCAGCCAGTCAGGATATTTGAAAGATAGAAGAAGAGGGCTCCCTCGGAGGAGGTGAGGTGGGCGAACTGGGCGTCCGGGAACTGCAGGTGCTCGCCAATGGCCGGCCGCACGACCGCACCACCGCCGCCGGCTGGGTCGCCGTCCTCCGGGGCCGCTGCAGACTGCAGCTTGCCCAGACGGCGCATGCGCATGGCCAAAAATTGCGTCCAGGCATTGGCCAGGCGCTTCCAGACACTTGGCATGGTGGACACACCGCCGCGCAGCATCATCCACCGGGCCGGAGCCACAACATCGGCCAGCAGGTCAATGGCACACAAACGGGCCAGCGCATTGTCCAGCAGGTATTGCTTCGACAGCTTGAGGGTCTCCTGCGGATCGATGCGGATGGCCAGTGGCGCGGACAGCGCCAGCAGGGCCGGCTCCAGGCGGGAGATAGATTGCGACCGGACCAGGTGCTGGGAAAAGGCTGGGGGTTGAAGCAGCCGGGTCAGCCAGCGTCGGGGGAGCGGGGAGGGGGGGGGGGGAGGCAGGGAGGGAGGGAGGCAAACAGTGCGGATGCGCTTTCCTCCCCAGGGGGAGCACCAACCGGGCGCATCAGCCGGACGAGCAGGCACACATACCAGTAAAGGCGTCGGGAACCATCCACCCACGCAGACGACCATCCAGCAAGGCAGCCTCAACGGCGTCCCAGAAGGCAGCGCGCCAGCGAACGGCCCACTCGCGCGAAGTACCCGACCCGGCCATCTGCTGGTACTCGACATGGCCATCGGGATCATCGGAGTCGGCAATCGCGAAGAACAGCTGGCGCAGGTCCCCGAGAACGAAGGCCGCCCCAAGATGGCTGGCCTCGAGGCCGCCGTCGCTGAAGGCCAAGTGACGCGAGGCATCACCGGCGGCAGGGGACCCGCCGGGCACCGGACCGGCGGCCCGCGGGTCGGCCGCATCCCACGCCGACAGGGCAGTGCCAACGGCCACGGTCAGAATGAAACGGATGCGGGCCTCGCGCTCGGGCTGCGCCGCCGGGGCTTGCAGACGCCGGTCCACCCGGGCCCGATCCAGGGACAGGTTGGTGAAGGCCACCAGCAAGTCGCGCAACTCCTGGGACACCAGCCGCTGAAGGGCCTGGCTGACTGACAGCGGCGTCACCGGGGCCTGGCCCACCGGCGGGAGCTGATCATACCGCGGGAGGCCCAGGGCTCGGACCCGGCCCGCGTGCAGGGCCAGCACCAGGGTCAGCGCATCGAAGACGCGCGTTCGCCGCAGGAGCGACTGCACCCGCGACCGCCAATCCAGCGGGGTCAATGTCATCATGGACAGGTCTACGCGCGACCCGGTTGCGGGGCTGCCACTGTCGAACTCCGGACTGCTGGGACTCGAGTCGGCGCCCTCACTGGCTAGAGTCAGGTCGCCGATCAGCAGGTGGAGAGCCCCCCGGAAGGTGGTGATCACCGGCTGGTAATCGATCAGCAGGGAATTCGGCGTGCCGGGGGGCTCGCTTGGGCTCATGTGCGCCGCGTGCCCCGGCCGGAGGGAGAAGAGCAGGCTTCCCCGGGCCAGAGAGCAGGCACCGGAATACTCCAACTGGACGCGAGCCACTTGACTCGCCCGGGGAAGGATGACACCACCGTCGGAATTGGCCAGAATGTGGCTGATGATCGGGTCGTCAACGTCATCAATGTCCAAGTGATCCTCCTCATTGCCCGCATGCCGGGGGAAGGGGATGTACTGGCGCAGGATGAGGCGCTCCTCGATGTCCATCACTCCGATCATCTGCATCGGCGAAGGGCCAGGGAAAGGGGGGGGGGGGGAGAGGGGGGGGGGGGGGGGGGGGCGGAAGAGAGAGGGACAGGCGCGCCGGCGATGGCGGAAGGAAGGGCATGAGCGTGCTGAACGGGGGGGGGGGGGGGGGGAAGGGAGAAGCATAACAATACGAAAGGAGATCGGGACGAGGCGGGGAAAGCACAGAGCGCCACGCACCGTGGAGCTGATCCACCAAGCGCCAAGGCCGATGCGCTCGCACATGCGGGCGGCCGAAATGGCGAAAGCCAGAGGCTGGCCCACCACGGGGCCCGAGCTCCCAGGAGAGGAGAGGACGGAGGAGCTGGCTGAATGCGCCTGCGGGAATTGCGCCTCCACAACGAGCAGGAGGCGTCCCCAGTTGATCACCAGCGCCGGCGGCAGTGAAGGCTCTGCCGAGGGAAGTGCCCAGGTCGCGGTCAGGAACGCCGATGGGGCGATGAAGGGCGACGAAGGGCGATGAAAGGGAGGCAGCGAAAGGGGGGCGAGAAAACACACCATCACGCCAGCGGCAGGACACCAGATTGTGGGTTTTCAGCGAATCGTCACAGAGGGATCGATCAAGCGGCGGAAGGGGGGCCTTGAAAATGACCTGGGCATTGGGCTTCAGCGCGAGGATCGTGACCTAGACAGCCATCGGGGCGAGAGCGGGGGAGGGGGGGGGGGCGGTGGATGTGTCAAAAGACCGCGATACGTGGACAGAGAAAGAGCGCCGGGGCAGGGCAGGGGGAAGGGGTGGGGGGGGGGAGGGAAAGGGCCAAAGAGCATACCCCATTGGCCGAGCAGAAGGCAAGCAGGCACATCTGCGAGGCAATCCCCCAGAGTGGATGCATCGGAGCCTGGCTCACAACCCCGGTCTGACCAAAGCCGAGCGCCGCGGCGACCAGCAACGGCCCGGTGGCGATGTGCTGCGTGGAGACCGTCCAAACAGCCACCAAGCGGCTGATCGTGTGTACAGCACACTTGCCCGAGGCATCGGTCACCAAGATGTCATTCCCCTCATCGAGGCTGTGCTGCTCCGAGGAGAAGGGCACAAATTGCAGGTGTGTCACGGCTGGAGACAGAGCCACCGGGCCGCCCGGGCCCGACGGGCTGGCCGGCTGGGATGGGCGGAAGTCAAACGGAAAGCTGGAAAAGGCGCGCAGACGCGAGCTCGGCGAGGCGCTCAGCTCCGAGGCGGCGGCGGCGTCGTCTTCGGCCACGGACCCGGAGCTCGGGCTGGCGGAAAGGCGAGAGGCCTGGGAGGCAGTTCGCGACCGACCGAAGACATTGATCGCCGACAGGCCCGACGAGAGACTGGACTGGCTGCTGGCCGAGGGGGAAGGGCCGGCATCGGCCACATACCCGGGAGGGATGGAGGGGCCCGGGGTGGAGGCCGGGGAACCCGACTCGCCGGTCCACCCAGGCCGAGCATTTCCCTGTGTGGCATTGGTGACTGTGGCGCCGGCTGGCGGAGTGGAGAGGGGCTGAATGGTGCGAACGGATTTCCCGGTCACCAGGTCCCAGATGATGACATGCCCGGAGCGATAGCCCGAAGCACAGCGAGGCGCGATGGCTGACGGGTCGGTGGCCGGGCCGCGCGGCGCATGCAGGGCCAGCGCAGTCACCGGGCCGTAGGATGGCGATGTGGCTGGAGCGAGGAGCGTGGCAGAAACAGTGACAGACAAAGGGAGAGAGAGAGAGAGAGAGAGGAGGGGGGGGGGTCAGGACAGGGCAGGAAGGCAGACAGGCAGTCAAAGTGACCTGGGCGCACCGCCGGAGCTGCCGCGTGAATGCGTCCCCGGTGTGTCCATGCCGCCGCCGAGGAGCCAGCGCTGCTGTTGCTGGAAGTCGAAGATGATGACGAAGCCATGTGCCGTGCCGATGGCAATCCATCCCGGGGCAACCTGAACCGGAGGGGGGGGGGGGGCAGGAGATGGGTTAGCACATGGGAAGGGCGGGCATGCGTGGCCCCCGGCCCGAGGAAGAAGGTGTGGGGCATACCGCCAGGGCGGTCGGCGAGCCGAGGGTGTGGCGGCGACTGGCAGCGCCGGCCCAGGAAAAGGCCCGCTGCACTGGAGACCCGGAGGCCGGGGCCCGCGTGACGCGGGCTCCGCAGAGCTGTGCGCTGATCGACCGAAGGACCCGCCGGTAGATGGGCTCCGCGGCAGAGAGTGCCGCGCGCAGAGCCCGGTCATCGAGCGATGCACACTGCCAGGATTCGGGCGCATCGGCCGATGCCAGGGCCTGGACAGACGTCATGGTGGATGCACTACCATCAACTGCCAGGGCATCCGGCGAGCGTCCAAGCGTCGGGTCCGGGTTCACCAGAGCCGCACTGAAGGAGGGCAGCAGCTGTGACTCGGACCCGACGGAGCCAATGGTGGAAGCGGAGCGCGAGCGCCCGGGGCCCTCATGGCCGGGCTCCTCGCGGATGGACATACGCCGGGTCCGGGCAGCAATGGCCGGGGCCAGGCGCGCCGCGGCCGCATGATCGCCGATGCCCTTCTGGGAGGCAGTCGAGATGCCCAGCTGGTCGTCGATGGCCACCACCATATCCAGATCCCGGGTGTAGGAGGAAGCCATGTTGTCGATCAGGGCAGCGGTGGCGGCGGCCGAGGCCGCTGGCGCCGGGCGCCCGGCCGAGGGGGCCCGGTCCCGCGGAGCCGGCGAAGCGCCCGTGCTATCGGGGATGCCCTCGTCGGCGGGGACACCTGGCGAGGAGGGCTCGGCGACATTGCTCAAAACGGATGCCAGATCCAGATCTGCCAGGCACCGGGGTGGGGGGGGGGGGAGGGGGCACAGCAGGAGGCACAGGATATTAGTCGGAGAAAGCGACGCTAGCGACCCGCGACGTACGTGCGGGCGTGCGGGCGTGCATGTGTGTGTGTGTGTGTGATCGATGAGTGGTCCTATGAGGCCGCGAGAGAGGCACCACGACGTACCGGAGGAATTGGTGAACTGCTCACGGATGAGGATGCACGTTTGGATTTCATCCAGGAGCAGGCGCGCCTGGGACAAGTCCTCTGGCGCGGTCCGCGGCAGGCACCCGATCAGAGCCTGGAGCTCGGACTCGATGCGCGTCAGACTCTGGATGTCAACCTGCAGCGAGGCAGTCGAGCGTGAGGGAAGGTCATGCTCGGCATCTGAGTACAGTCGGACCAGGGTGACCAACTCGGGCAGCGACCGGGGGCCAGCGCGTGGGGTGTCATCTAATCCACAAATGCCGGAGAACACGACGCCAGGTGGGGAGACAGAGAGGGACTGAGGATCAGTATGATGCATCGGCGG